TCTCTTTTTCTCTATCGCTTTTTCACTCAGTCGTCAACATATATTTAAAACCTTGGACTTAAATTACGTCAATCATTTATTCATATATCTCTACTTATAATTCTTCTATATTTATTTATCATTTTTATTAACGTACAATTATTTATCTGCTTATAATTTTCTATTTTTCTTTTTTTCTTCTTTTTTACGCGCTGTAGCGCGTTAACCCGTAACTGATAGGTCCAAGAGATCCTAGCGAATTTCGTTTTCCCGATAGTTTCAAGTGTATCCATCCAGAGCGTTCTATGTGCTTTAGTACCTTTCAAGCATTACATACTGTACACGTTGTTTCTACTAAATGTTATAACTAGCGTAGGGTTTTATCTCAAGGCGCAGAGTAAACAATGTTTTGTCTGTCTGTCTGTCTTTCCTCGAAATGCAATTTTTCCGGTATATTCTTTCCGCGAAAGATAATAATATGATGAGATAAAATGGAAAACAACGGTTCGCGACTGGTCATTGCCACGAATTTAGGATTGACCCTTGACACAGTGCGATTTCTATAATCATTGTTAATATGAATAATGAATAAATAAGCCTTGTAAACCGTGCGCCGCGATTAACGCAATTAAATATACACGCAGCGCACAGCTCACGGTAGGTGGTGTTAGTAACGATACGTGAACAATACATGAGGTATTAGCGATTACCGATTAGTTTCAATTCATGCCGGTGATGTATTTTGAATTCGACACGATTCGATATAGCGCGCCAAGTGCTTTCCCGTATTAATTAATCAACATGGAAGTTAATCTATTATATTTTGATTCAGAAGTAGCTAATTCACTATTGGCGTGTTTCCGCCGTGGGGCACGCCGAAAAATGCAATCGTGGTCGTAGAAGTAAGCGAAACGCAGTGTGATGCTGCCACGTCGTCACTAATTAATATAGATTTTACACGTGAGATATATATGTATATATACCGCACAACGCGGTACGCGTATAGCAGTTACGAGGAAGTGTATCGACGCGCGAATGAAAACGTGTCGCGCATTCGAAATTGCATTGGGGGATTATCAGTAAATATTATTTAGCATTCTAGGATTAAATGGCCGTGAAATAATGTGACAATAATGACAATGAGGTTACGCAATAAATAACGTCGAGTGCATCACGGCATTATTATCTTCAGCATCGCGCCACGTTTCTGCCGACTTCACTGCAAAACCAAGTGCGCAATTTCACACACCTGTGTGTGTAATCACTTTTTACGCATTTCGTACGCGTCTTGTTATTATGATTTTATATACATAAGTGTGTAAGAATTACACTATACACACGGAAAAAAAATTGAGTGTTAATTCAAGACTTATATATTCTAATCGACGTGATTGTTGTTTCATATATAAGCAAGAATATATAATCTTTTCCTTTACGAAAATTTAATAATAAATCTTCACATTATAATTCCATTACAATACTAGGATAGTCTACCAAGGGGCACAGTATGATTATTCTGAAAATACCTTGTTTAAAAAAATTTTTTTTAATTGTACCAAAAGCGTTGCTTTGAGTAAATTCTATACTTGAATCTAATGTACGTTAATCTTCTTCCAACAATATGAACGTTTTCTCCCTCCGCCACACAAAGGCGCGTTCTAATCCGTTGCAAAGGGAGCGATTCCGTTAATTATCGAAATCATACGTGGCGCACGGTATGATCGCGTCAGTGACTGTTACACGATACCGTCCCTTTTAACGTCACACGGCGGGATGGAATTGTTCAGTTTCCTCACGAACCACCGCCGGGGAAAAGTTCATTCCGTTTAGCTCCACAAAAGTGCGCGTGTGAGGGCCGCCGCGACAAAAAGACGCGCGCCCGTTCTGCCCGTCCTTCCGGCGCGCTCCGAACAATCGTGCAAAAAGTACGGCGGTAAAAGCGACGTAACGAAACAAGGAAACCGCCGTGTAATTCGCGGCGCGACTGTATCAAGGCGCATTCGTTGCGGCAGTAAACCGGTTTTTCGAGGCCGAGCCGCTCGAACTTCGCCCAGGCGGCGACTCCGCGCACACCTTGGATATCCTTAACAATGGCAATCCTGTTTACGAGCAAATTCCCCGCAACGGGAGCGCGACGAAATTCCGTTTCTTCTCAGCTCGTTGAGGCGCGCACGGAGACGGAAACCGAGTTCCCGCGTCCCTCCCGCCGCCGTCCTCCTTTCGGCCCTCGACTTGCGCCGAAAACGCGGTGAAAGTACCGTGACCGCGAAAAGATTGGCGAAGTTTGCAGCGGGGGAACCACGATAAAGGATAATCAGCGCAAGTCGAGAGCTTCATCCACGAGGTAGACCGCGCCGGACCGGCAGCCTCCATCTCGTCGCCGTGTTTATCCGAGCTATATTCCCTCTTTCCGACTCCCCTCCCCCCTCGACGCCTCTCTTCTTATCCGGCTGCCACTTCGCAAGCTTTCCCCGGTGCGAAACACAGGAAGCGCAGTGCGGCGGCGGGCCATTCTGGGCGCGAGAAAATGATTTTCTTGTCGGGGAAAAGGCCGTTTCGAGGGAATACGAAAACGAGAGATCTCTCACGGATGGTGCGAGAGAGCACTTGCGTGCGAAACGCATCGAGAGCTTTGTTTTCGAGAGCTCCTCGACGACGGTGCGACGTCGCATTGGCAAAGAGAATATGTACCGTGGTTTTCTCCCCACGAGTGAAGCAAACGACGCGCGCACACACACACGCACACACAAATACACCGCGTCTCTTTCGTGCGCGCCTTCCGCCAAGATCATTTTTGTGAGTATCTCAGAAGAAGAAATCTTACCCCGAGCAGGACTACAAATTTCATACGCGAAACCCGTGAGGGAGCTATCACGGAGCACGCGATTCCCCGTCGATTTTTCCAAGAATACAAGAAGCGGCAACTTCAACGCAAAATGAGCTGCGAACGGAAGCTGGGAAGAATCGCGCGCGAACGTTCCTCTTTGTTGAGCTTCCCTTCGAGCGAAAACGCTCCCACGAACGGTTTTTAATAAGCAACATGACTTCTCGCGTCAACGGGGCGTCATCGTATCGCAGAGACACGCGTGCAAGTGCACACGAACGCCGGTCTCGTCCGTGAACGCACCGGGTTGCACCTATTGACACAATTACGTCCGCGGAGGCTGATGTTATTCCACGACGACGGCAACTTCGGTTTAACCCACATCGCGTTGTTTATCCCTTATCCGTTTTACGCCGACGCTCTCAAGATGCGTTTTCTCCGATCAATACATTTCCGGGCCGGATTTCTCGAAACGTTGCGCGCCGCTATCGAGCGGATATATATTCCGCTTGGCAGCCGTCGCATGTTTTGAACCCCGCTCCGCTCGTCAGTGTTATCTGCTTTCCTTCTGCAAGAAGGCACGTAGCTTTCCGGTCGGACGGCTTTATCCGCCGTTCCGTGATATCGTTATTAACTGCGATTCGCCATGCGATCGGCCGCCACCGGGAAGGGTGTCCGGAAGATAGGAACGTCAGATCCGCCCGGCGCTGTTCGCGACGCTAACTCCATCAGTTTAGCGGCGTCAGATTATTAGCGCGCGCGCGCGCGTCTATTTCGCCGTGACGAATAACCCTCTATCGTGCGCATCTGCCGCGCGATGTACCGGAAAGATGTCTACACGCGCGTCATGCGCATCCGCACTCATGTAAATTACCGCGTAAAATATACCGTGGATATTTGGATTCGCATACAGTCGTTACAACGCGATATTACCGAGAACGATAAATCCTGGGCGGGCGCGCGCGCCCGCCCGCGAATTATGTCGAATATTCGCGACGACAGCGTTCGGGTCGCGATTTTTTATAATTTATCGCCGGGCGTGATTTTTTGTTCCATTTCGGAGTAACGATCGCGATGGGACCGAGCCCCGCGGGAGACGAGGCGCAAAAATGCGCGCACGACATTGCAAATGCGGCGGAACGCGATTATGTCGTCATCCAGGTGTGCGAGCGTCGAAAAGCCGTACGCGGGAGGAGCCACGGCGTCTCCCTTTTCCCTTCGCCATCAAAAGAGAATTCGTTTCAATTGCATGAGGCTCCCTCCCAGTCGCGCTCCGACCGTCTCTGCTGCTTTTCTTCCCGACCGAATCCTCTCCGATCCTCTCGCGCGCACTACCCTCTTTCACCCTCGGCTATCCCGCGACGCGCCACCCCATCCGTGTCGTCATGCGATTAGTATAATAACGTTGACGTCGGGAGGGCCGCGCGCACGCAGCGCGAGAATCGAGGATGCCAATCGCATTAGACTACACCCGGAACCGAAACTCAATATTTACGCTAGCGCGCGGCAACTCGGCGCTAATTAGACCGCCAGGTAATTGGTAACGCTAGCTCTCAAAGCCAAGGGGAGAACGCGGCGAAATTCGGCCCGAATACCGGTATATACTCTTGCTCGCTGCGTGAACGGGTCTCCACCCCCCCCCCCCCCCCC